AATTACTCTAAGTATAGGAAAGAAGTCTGCATTATCGAGCACTGACCAAAGATATGTTCAGTATAGATTTAGTATGGAGCACAATTTCAACTATTATACGGTATAACGGTATCATTCAAATGTATAAAATTTCAAATTAAAATGTTACGAAAATTACATACCAACACCATTTATAATTATTATATAATAAATTATATATTATATTATATAATATAATAAATAAATAAATAAATAAATAAAATAAATAATTTGTTACACCTTATAAATATAATTTATAAGGTGTAACAAATTACACCTTACATAATTTGAAAAAGTATAAATAAATTAAAATAAATAAATAAAGAAATAAATTCGATAAACCAATTTGTTTCTCGTTTTTTTTGTAAATATTTTACATGCTGCAAACAAGGGACGACGAGTTTTTTTATTTTATCCTACCTAATCTGGTAACCTAGGAGGCTATTCCAGCCTAACGAGACGAGTAGTTGAGCTCAAGGGGCTCTAAGTTGAGGATGTTGCTAAGACTGACCCTAGCAAGAACAGTGCGTCGCAGAATCTAACACCGGACCGGAAACGCGACGCACTGAGAAGATCCGGATAGAAACTCAGTGGGCCGTGTCTGTGGGTCAATTTATTCGCCGAACCCTTCGTAGCGAGGGACGGGTTCGATGAGAATGGTGACTGGTGCTTGTGGTACCTAAAAGCAACAGTAGGGGATAGTGGTGGCAACGATAGTGGTGGCAAGATCCGAAATGACGCGTGTTTGTGCGACGTCGACTGTTTCCATTGGGTTAAATCAACACGGCTGTCAGAAAGAAATAGGATCGTAATCCTCAACCGCGTTAGTTTGCAACTTGCTTACATGTAATTAATACAAAAGTATACTTTACTTCGCAGTAGAAATCTATAAGGCACCATGCGTACCAGGGTTACCGTCGCCCATGGACTTCAGCAATGCCAGGGGCAGAGCCAGTAGCCGTTGTAACTATACTGAGACCTAAGAACTTATATCTCAAGGTGGATGGCGCATTTACGTTGTAGATGTCTATGGGCTCCAGTAACCACTTAACACCAGGTGGGCTGTGAGCTCGTCTACCCATCTAAGCAATAAATAAATAAATCACACAATTATAATGCGTTCGAAAATTAAGGGCCTGTTGACCGGACAGGACTTGGGCTGCGTTCGTTACCTGGACAAAGCAGAGTGTTTTCCACGTTAAATTGAGTGTAGAGAGGCAATTCGAACGGGACGCCTGTTCGCGACAACGGTATGGAAAACCGAGTTTTTTAATTTTGGCCCTCGGCTCCCGACGAGACTCGTTGACATATGTGTGTGTGGGTGTTTTTTTTTTTTACTTTTAGTTCTCCGGGTATGCGTCGAACGCAACGATTTTTAATTATTTATACGTGCTTCGAGTTCAGACTGTATTTAAAAAAAATGATTTTCCTCCTCTGACCAAAAAAAGTTGCAAAACAAGTAAACAACCAAAGTCGAACGATACATGTTCGTAACGCTGGAAAATACGTCGAGGCAATTTAGTTAAGAATACGTTATAATTTCCGTCTTTAAGGCAACCTTAAAATGATTTTTAATTCTACCTTTATCGAAATTATTAGTAATGAGTTAGGGAAAAGATTAATTGATGAGTCAATTTTGAGTCAAGGTCAATGACATTCTTTGATGTTTAACAAACGATAACTTTATTTTACTGAAATTCGTGACGGAAATGTTAAATTTCCAAGAAATCGCCTGACTAAATCTTGAGATATGTATACATATTATGTGATAATCATGTGAAATTCCATCTTGGTTTAATTTGATTGATGCCAGTGCGACCTTTAGTGAATACTAACGGTTGACCAGTTAGCAAGTACTTTGATCGGAAATATGTACATTACGCAGTTCTAAGGAGTAAATTGAAAAACATTAAAATGCGCCTTCTGTTTTTTTTCGTTCAAACCACAATTTCAGATTTACTTAATTATACTTGCCCTGTAGCCGCAAATGAATATATTAAACTAGTGGTAAATATTCGCCGTACAGTTTAATTAAAAAATTGTATTTAATACCAACATATATACTTATATCTACATATATACAATACTAAGTACGTTTTTAAATGTAACTGTTTGCTGGTAATTATTACGGACAAACAGGTTCAGTAAACAAAGTGATTAGTCTATTCCCATTTAACTTTATTATTAATTAATCAAGCCTATTGTCTGGTGAAGTTGCTTGTTCTGAACATGCACGCATTGTTGGCATCGTGCTGCTCATTTCTGTCCTTAATTCTGAAATCCTTTATTCTAAGCCGTTCATTAGATAGTTCAAAGTGGTTTCCATTTTGTGGTGTCTAAAGACTTCGGTAATGCATTTTAGAATATTAAGCCATATATTTTGAATTAATCTTCCTTTGTTAATGCAAAAATTAAATGAAAAAAAAACTTCCGGGTACTCAAAATTAAATATTGCATTTTTTTAAGCAACTAACAATTTTAATATTATATTTTTCAAGTTCCGTTGAATTAAAATAATTTACATAATTAACTATTTTTCACTTAATAAAATAAATCATTATCTTTTGTTCTAATGCATAACATTGTGTTGTTATCAAGTATAGTTTTTTTTGCGTTCGTGGAGGTAACTGAGACAGTAATATATAATTTTATTTTAAAACAATTACGGTCAAGTACGACTGTTTTGCCGTTTTTCAGGCAAGATAAGCCACACAGCCTCGTCCTTCCGATATTAAGCGATTGCCGGAACCTATACATACAGATATCGGAATGCCTATGGCTTCAAACACAAGATTGAAATTTTAAAACTCCATCAGGTCCAATAGTACCACCCTCTTCAGGGGAAGGCTATTGGAGTTGCATTATCAATATAGGACATTTAACTCACGAGTCGTTGCAACAAATGGCTGTGTGAATTTCATTAAAAATCGCGGTAATCACATTAGTCCTTGAGTTTTTATACTTTATAATAAAATTTAAGTAAAATTGAGTATAAAATATACTTTAAGTATACGTTAACGTTTTATGATAGAAACGTTTTTTTTATGAGGTATATTCATTAAAATGTTATGATGTAGGAAATCTAAATGAGTATAAATATGTGAAATTTAAAAATGTTTCACTTATAAGGCTATTGGCAGTGAGTTCGAAGAAGGCCGTCTCCGAGGGCGGGGTGGCCTTGGCGGTGTTATTCGATATCGCCAATGCGTTTAACACCCTGCCCTGGTCCGTGATAAGGGGGGCGCTTGAAAGACACGGAGTACCCCTCTACTTTCGCCGGCTGGTGGTTTCCTACTTGGAGGACAGATCGGTCACGTGTGCCGGACGCGATGGGATCGTGCACCGTTTCCCGGTCGTGCGCGGTGTTCCACAGGGGTCGGTGTTCGGCCCCTTTTTGTGGAATATCGGGTATAACTGGGTGCTGGGGGTGCCCTTCTCCCAGGCTAAGTTTGCTCGTATTGCCACCGCTGAGGTGGCGCATGTCGTCGGCAAACTCAGGAGGAACGTAAGACCGTCGAGGCAATTTGCCCGGTCCTTGTAGATTGGGTGAGTCGTGACAGAGGACGCCTCACTTTACGACTGACGCAGGTGCTCACTGGGCATGGTTGCTTCGGTGATTTCTTCTTCTTTCTTCACCGGATCGAAGCCGAACCGACGGCAGAGTGCCACCATTGTGGCTGCGACTTGGACACGGCGGAGCATACGCTCGTCGTCTGCCCCGCATGGGAGAGGTGGCCCCGTGACTTCGTCGCAAAAATAGGAAACAACTTGTCGTTGCCGAGTGTTGTGGCATCGGTGCTCGGCGGCCACGAGTCGTGGAAGGCGATGCTCGACTTCTGCGAGTGCACCATCTCGCAGAAGGAGGCGGCGGGGCGCGTAAGAGATCCACAAGCCCGCCGCCGTTGAGCGGGGTCCAGAGAGGCGGATCTCGTCCAAGCCCTGGCCCTCTAAGTGTTTCAGGTTCACCTAACATGTCGGTCCGGGGACCGGTGAGGGGGGCCTAAGAAGACGACGTGCAAGCTGCTCTACACGCGTTTTACGCAAGAACATTCGGGTGATGGAAGGCCGGCTATCCTCGACCCACGTTGGTTCTGACCCAGCGGGGTATTCCGTAGGATAACTCACTCTAACCGGCGTCATCTAGATAGGCTTCGGATAGCCAGCCGACCGAGAGGGCTGGTGGTCGTGGCGCCGACGACAGCCGGTCCGGCGTCCCAAGAGGGAGGGTGATGGGAGAGATGTGGTCCGCACTAAGCGCTTCACTTTCCCCTCTTTGCCTTTTCAGGAGTTCTGTCTCATGCGATGTTCGGAAGTGGGTTCTTGAGCGACAGGAGGTTTTAGTCGGTTCGACTCCGACATGCTCCGCCCGCCATCCCCAGTGAACGGCAGAAGTTCGGCGATTTCGTCTTGACCAAAAAAAAACCTATGAGCTCACAAAACGCTCTACCACCAGTTAACCAACCACCGACGATCGAACTACTCAATAGTTATAATATTAGTTTTGATACCTTCCTATTGATATGATTGAATAAGTGAATTAAAAGTAAGCCATCATATGTGCAAAGCGTTAAAATATCGGTCTGCTATTACATTTTTGGTTTATTTATAATTTGGCAATTGTGTTCTGGAAATTGTTTTTACCCGATAAGAGTGACAATTATATGTACTTTTTGTGTATTCTGATTGTTTTATTTTACGAACATATTTTTTCATTTTATATAATGATTGATTGATTAATGCCATGATCAAATTTTAAATTGCAAACATTTTTGAAAAATTAATTAATTAAATTAGCCTTAATTATATACCACAAATCCGTTTGTTTTAGCCTTTTCTTTAATAAGAACGAAAAACAATTCGAATGTATTATTAACTTTCAATCTCTTGTTATATAATGATTATTTTCGTGTAATTGTAATTCATTTGTTTAAATTCGTTCCGTACTACATAAAAAATATATTTATATTATAAATACTAATTACCTGTTTCAGTCCTACAGAATATTGAATTCAATGCTCCCATTTTGCTAACCTTTAATTTTATCACTTCCTAAAAACAAACTGACCAGTTGCACGAAATACGACAAAGCTGTCCAACGATGCAACAGTTATAACAATAGACTTTAAAAAATCAAATATTATATTGAGATTAAAATGACTAGGCGAGCTTTTTATGAGCTGGTTATTTGAGCAGAATTCTGTAACTGGTTTTGCAATAAAATAAAACGTGTAAATAACCCAAGAGTGTTAAACATTCTAAGGGATATTCCAAGTTTAACGCGCTTAAATAGCTGACGATTTAAAGATAATTAACTTTTTGTCGTGATATTTCTGGTCATAATAACAACATGCTTTGCTTTTGTTGAAATTATGTCGGCATTTTTTTTATTATCCTTAATTTCAGACTATTTAATTATTATAATCAAATTAATTTTAATTATATTTGTTTAAATTTGCTTACATAGCTCTAGTTTTACATAATTTACAAAAATAATATGTTAGAAGGTGTAGTAGTAGATTAATGCAGTAATGGGGGAGTTAAATGATTAAATTAAATTAAATTAAATGGTTAAATGGTTACCTACCATGCAACATGAGGTTTAAATCTTAAAAAAATTACAGCCAATGTCCCACATTTCAAAGTAAAACGAAATAGTTAGGGGTGGTGGCACTTTAGCCATGCGGGCCTACAGTATTAACGCAATATTAGTATCATCAGCAAATACGTGATTTTGAATTTCGCGGTTTCGATTTTTATTACGCAATCCTATTACTTCATCGTGGAAATCGGTCGTGAACATTAAGTACGTAGTTTCTTAGAAAACTTGGTAACTGTCCACGGGTTTCGAGCACCGGTATTGTCGCATCGCTTAGTACAAGTAGCATTGGGTCTTATAGTTTAGTTTTTACATATAATTTTTTTTGGTAACATACAATCTCTGTTGTTGACAATTTTATTCTATACATCATCATCATCATCATCAGACCTTATCTGCCCACTGCTGTACATAGGCCTTCCGTAATGCCTTCCACATAATGCGGTCTTCCGCCTTCCGCATCCAACGACTTCCCAGGTGGACCGACGACTTATTCTATACGTGAACTATGAATACTTAAATAGTTTACTTGTTATCCAATAACAATAACATTGACGGGATGATTATGTGTTACGCAGAGCAAACGTCAGAAGCTCCACGAATGTTGAGGCAGCGCTTGCCGTGTCGATTTGCCGGCAGGCTTTATTTCCGCCTGTCGCGTCGAAATACGATACCAGTTATATTTTATTTCCAATACTTCAGTAATCGAAATAGAACATGGTTTTGCATCTGTAAAACGTTCCCGAATAGAAATGGTGGCTGTCTGCCGTTTTTACTAACAATTAAATAATTCAAGAGACTTGCTCCAAGACCCTGATCAGTATTAACATGATAAAGATGAAATTAAAATTATTAGTTCAGCCTAAGCGTCTTTCTTTTGTTGGTAAACTTTATGTATTATTATTCCATTTGCAAAGGTGGTTTAAGGTCCTTAGGCCCCCAGATGAGACAGAGGTATTCAACAGTACTTCGCCGTCGCGATCGGTCTTGGGGTTACTTTGGTACAGATTAGCCCGATTGTCTTTATCACCGCTCCCACAGTGCGCCTTCCATAGATTTTCGTTGAAGATCTTCTTAGGCCAGAAACTGCCCAGTATTTGCCGCAAGCAGCGGTTGATGGAAACCTGAATCGGCAACGTGATCTTTTTCGTTGTGTTCCATGTTTCGCACCTTTGTTGCAAGCTTGATTTCACCTTTGATCAGAAGGTTTTGAATTTAGCACTACGAGTCAATTTCTTGGATCGTCATATAGGTCGAAGCTGTGAGAAGGTTGCCCGTGCTTTGGCTATTCTAGAAGCCGTGTCCTCTTCTACTCCTCCAGTTTTCGACACGATACTAGCAAGATACGCGAACTTTTACATTCGCTGTATCGATCCTGTACCCAGCGTTAGCGGTCGCGGATATTTTTCCGGTGCGCATTTCTTGGGTCTTCTTCGAGTTGATCTGAAGACCCATTTTGGCAGCCTTCAGCTTCTTTTGATAGATCGTCGTAGTCTAAGTCATTTAGTTGGTCACAACAATTTTGGAAGGTTCCTAATTGAAAAATTATGTAATGAAAACTAAGGTAGTGTGATCATGAAGTTCAGTATGTTATAATTAAAGGAGTTTTATTAACCCTTTGGGGTCTAGTGTTCAGACGTATTGGACATGTAATCATACATTAAATTAGTCTTAGGACAGCAAAGGGTTAATATTTCTCAAACTAGTGGATCTCTACCTTAGTACTTATCAACTAATTAAGCGTTTAAGATTTTGCAATAAGATTACAATAACAAAGATTTCTCTGCTACGTGTTTCAAGATATGTATATACGTGGCGCTGGTGAGCTTTGGTTAACTTTTTCTATCAAGTGAACTATGCAATATCAGCCGAGCTTAATATCAACTTGAAACATCTTGACCAACTACAATCTATTGTAACTCATTCAAGAACATAAACGAGGATTACTTTTAAGAATTTTATTAAGATTTCCTTAGGAGTACCGTTTGCTGCTCTTAGTCTTTCGTTATTCGCGTTTTTGATCAAAAATTCTCCCTAAAATTGAAGCGTCGAATTGTATGGAATGCCCTCGCCTGTAGTGGTATCAAGAGTAAACATAAAAATTGATATCAGGTTCGTTAAAATTCTGTCAGTTTCACATATCGGTTTTAGTTGATGTCTGGCGGAATATGGTAAGATTTTTATTTTATACCGTGAGCATCAGTAATGGCGTATTTTCGTAATATAAGATAACGTGAAAATAAATACATAAATATATTAAGCCGTACAAGGTTTTCAATAAATTTTCAAGTCGTCGTGGCCTAAAGGATAAGATGTCCGGTGCGTTCGTATCTACTGATGCAACGGTGTTCGAATTCAGCAGGCGGGGACCAATTTTTCTAATGAAATACGTACTTAACAAATTTTCACGATTGACTTCCACGGTTTTTTTTTATATTGCTTAGGTGGATGGACGAGCTCACAGCCCACCTGATGTTAAGCGGTTACTGGAGCCCATAGACATCTACAACGTAAATGCGCCACCCATCTTGAGATTTAAGTTCTAAGGTCTCCGTATAGTTACAATAGCTACCCCACCCTTCGAACCGAAACGCATTACTGCTTCATGGCGGAAATAGGCGGGGTGGTGGTACCTACCCGTGCGGACTCCCAAGAGGTCCTACCACCAGTGATTACGTAAATTATAATTTTGCGGGTTTGATTTTTATTACACGAAGTTATTCCTTCACCGTGGAAGACAATCGTGAACATTTGTCGAGTACGTATTTCATTAGAGAAATTGGTACCCGCCTGCGGGATTCGAACACTGGTGTATCGCTACATACGAATGCAACGGACGTTTTATCCTTTAGGCCACGACGACTTCAAAGTCGAAGGTGAAGGAATAACATCATGTAATAAAAATCAAACCTGCAAAAAGTTGAAGGTGAAGGAATAACATTATGTAATAAAAATCAAACCCGAAAATTACTAGTGGTAGGACCTCTTGGGAGTCCGCACGGGTAGGTACCACCACCCTGCATATTCCTGTCGTGAAGCAGTAACGCGTTTCGATTTGAAGGGCGGGGCAGCCGTTGTAACTATACTGCGACTTAGAACTTATATCTCAAGGTGGGTGGCGCGTTTACGTCATAGATGTCTATGGGCTCCAGTAACCACCTAACACTAGGTGGGCTGTGAGTTCGTCCACCCATCTAAGCAATAACAAAAATCATAAAAAATCGAGCTAAAATTTTTAAGTTACCATTCTGGTCTTGAGCAATCGTTCTGGCATTGCTCAGAATTCTAACACCTTTGATAGATTAAATTAACTGTTTTTCTCTATCAATTTAGCTTCTGTATTGGCCCAATCAAGGATTTTGTTATCAGGTCTCTCTAACCTTTTAATGCCTGATCGATCTTCCACCCTTCAAGGTTTACGATTACTATTAAAATTCATATAGGGTAGTGACAATGATGTCGCAATGAATGAAATACTTTATCTAGTAAAGATAGTTCTCATATTGTGAAATCTAATATATAAAATTGTCATGTCACAATGTTCGTTCCCATACTCCTCCGAAACCGCTTGACCGATTCTCATGAAATTTTTTATGCATATTCAGTAAGCCTGAGAATCGGCTACTATCTATTTTTCATACCCCTAAGTGATTAGGGTTGTCCACCCCTAACATATTTTTTTTATTTGGACTTTTTTTTTTGTTATAATGAGGTATTATGTGGTTGAATGAGGNCCTTCAGCTCTAACACTAGGAGCAGGCTTAGGGACCTCGGTAACCGTACTCGTCGAACTCGACAAAGAGTTCGCCGCGCAACCTAACCCATGAATCAGCTCGCTGAGTTTCTCGCCGGATCTTCTCAGCGGGTCGCGATTCCGATCCGGTAGTAGATTCATTCGCGAAGCAGCTACTCTTGAGCTGTTAGGTCTCCTTCGGAGGCACTCGGGTAGCTGTTAGCAAATCCCACCTCTCCTAGCTGAGCCTTTGCTCGCCCACGTGTCCTGGTGAAACTGGAAAGGCCTCCGGGCCACCGGTAATATTTCAATCATAAAAAAAAAAAAAAAAAAAAAAAAGATAATTGCACACATTTTGTTTTTTTTCTACACTAGAAATTCCCTAGAAGTCTTATATATGGCAAAACAATGTTTGCCGGGTCAGCTAGTAATATCTAAAATTCATGATTTTAACCCGGTAAGAAGTTATGGTCTTCAGTATTTCCCGAGTAGTGTTACAGTTATCTTTTCTCAAACGATGTTCGAAAGTAAGTTCGAGGTAGTAAGAGTAATCCATGAGTGACGGTGATCACTCACCGTCAATGAGCTTTATTCTCGTCTGCCTTCGAAGACCAATAACAACAGTAAGAGCTTTTACTACTAGATCTATTCCCTCGAAAATTTAATTCGTTAGCTGCAGAATGAACATATTATGGTAAGTCTGATTTAAATTTGAAGATAGCTTTATTTGATAAACACGTAAGACTTGCGTTGTTACGTTTATTATAAAATTTAGACTCTTTAGTATTCAATTTTGTTTAAGGTCAACTATTAACATTACTTAATTTCAAGGGAATGACGGCAAAATGCATAAATTTGTTTTTAAAGCAGACCACATCGAGACAAGATTACATGACTGATTGTGAAATTATACAT